CACCCGGGGCGGGGGGCCCAGCCTCGAGACCACAGACACTGCAGGGTGTCCAGCCTCGAGAGCACAGACACTGCAGGGTGTCCAGCCTCGAGAGCACAGACACGCCACGGGGTCCAGACTCGAGAGCACAGACACTGCAGGGTGTCCAGCCTCGAGAGAACACAGACACTGCAGGGTGTCCAGCCTCGAGAGCGCAGAGACCGCGGGGCAGCCTCGAGAGAGCACAGACACTGCAGGGTGTCCAGCCTCGAGAGCACAGACACTGCAGGGTGTCCAGCCTCGAGAGAGCACAGACACTGCAGGGTGTCCAGCCTCTCGAGAGCGCAGACACTGCAGGGTGTCCAGCCTCGAGAGAGCACAGACACTGCAGGGTGTCCAGCCTCGAGAGCACAGACACTGCAGGCTTCTGAGCAGGTGCACAGCGGGTAGGAGAGAGGGACAGAAAACCAGCCTGTGAGGATGCCCAAGGCAGGATGGAAAAGAGGCGAGAAGAAAGACCACCCTGCGAGCCGGCCTGAGGCTGAGCAGCATGGAGATGAGGCCCAGGGCCTGAGGACGCTGTGGCTCAGGGCTGGCAGCGAGCAAGGACAACTCAAGAAGACTCAATTGTTATTTTTTAAAAAGAATTATTTAACTTCATTTATTTTAATTTGACCAGAGAGGGACAGAAAGTGAGAAAAGCAAGCCGCCAGGTTTGGGACTCAAACTGCGGCCGGCCATGTGGGAGTCAGGCACCCTTAACCGCCATGCCACCTGCCAGTCCCCAAGACTCAATTATTATTTTTTTAAAGAATTATTTAATTTATTTAATGTGACCAGAGAAGGACAGAGTGGGAGGGGGTGAGAAAGCAAGCCACCAGGTCCAGGATTCGAACTGTGGTCAGCCATGTGGGAGTGTCCAGTGTCTTAACCACTACATCACATGCTGGTCCCCAAGACTCAATTATTTTTAAAAATAATTATTTAATTTTATTCATTGTCATTTATTTTATTTTTTTTAAGTTGACCAGAGAGAGACAGAGAAAGAGAAAGAAAGTGAGAAAGCAAGCCGCCAGGCCTGAGACTCGAACCACGGTCAGCCCTGTGGGAGTCTAGCCGTCCTAACCAGTATGCCACGGGCTAGTCAGAATCAAATTTTAAACCCAGGAAAGTGATGGCAACACAAAAAGCAAATTTAGGGGAGGAACATTTTTTCTTTCTGCGGTTTTTGTTTTTGGAGAGGTTTTTGCTATAGGGCGCGTGCGCTCGCCAGACAGACACAAAGAGATAGAAAGCGAGAAATCACCCCCAGGGGGGATGGCCACGCCTCAATCCCTTCTCCATTCTCCTCTCGGGATCTTGGGCACGCACGCACACACGCCCGGCGTGAGTTTAAGCCACCGGGTCTGGGACACGAACCGCAGTCGACTATGTGGGAGTCCGGAGACACAGCCATTACGCTGACTGCTGGTCCCTGGGGTTTTTGTTTTTCATAAGCAACATTGTAATAATTGGAGAGGACATCCAAAAACTCAAAAACTCTCCAAAATCGTAACCCTCCAAAAGGCCGCCTCGGAGGTGGATCATAACCATGCTGTAGCCACTTCCCGGCCGCCCTCCCGAGCCGACCCGATCCACTGCACACAGGCAGGCTCTGGACTAGTGCCGGCTGCTCAGCGTCACCAACTGATGGCTGACGGGAGCCCACTGCCGCCAGAACCGGAGCAGTGCTTCCCAGGTGGGTCCTAGTGCACACCAGCCGGGCAGGAGGGCCAAGGAGACAGGAGCAAAGTGACTGGCAGGCAGCATGGTGGTGAAGGTGCTCCACCCGTGTGGGCTCCCACGTGGGGTCTGTCTTGAACCTGGAGGCTTGCTTCCTCATCCCCCAATCCTCTGTGGTCAAATTAAAAATAAATAAATAATTTTTTAAAAAAGAATAATTCTTTATTTAATTCCGTTTGTCATTTTTTTTTTTTAAATTTTACCAGAGAGAGAGAAAGGGAAAGCGAGAAAGGCAGCTGCCAGGTCCGGGGCCTGAAAAGCAGCCGTCACGGGAGACCAGAGCCTCTATCACACCACCTGCTGGCCCCAGGAGACAATTCTTAAAACAAACCAGCAAGACCAGAAGAGGCCCCTGGACTTGGCAACCAGCCAACGCCTGATGACAGGAAATGGGCGTGGGGAACACGTGGAGTGGTGGGTGCTTTCGAGGCTTTCACGGCTGCGGAGGGGACGCGCAGGGCGGCAGTGTGGGAGGGCCGGGACCAGGAACCGAGGGCGCTCCGCCCTCCACTGAGAAAGAGAAGGGAGCCCCGCAGCTGTGGGACACGGTGACAGCCCTGGCCTGGGCAGCAGACATGGCTCTCCACCCTGGGCTGCTCCTAGTGCTTTCAAGGCTGCCCACACCGGGCAGCCGGCCCGGACTGTGCATCCCTGAGCACGTGTGGAATCGCAAGGTCCTCTGGAAGCGACCAGGGTGTCTGGGCGACAACTGAGGCAGCATGGGCACCAGGGCCGGGCCTCCAGAGAATGCGATGCGAAGCCACACGGCTTTCCGTACTACATGTCTTGGACACACCGCCGGGCGCCACCCATGTCTGCCGGCGGGGCGTCTGTCAGCAGTCCTGGCTCCTCTCCTGCTGCCTGGAGGCACGACTCTGGCTGGACACACTGCGGCAGTGGCGGGCCTCACAATGTGACGTCAGCCGTGACAGGCACCGCACACACGTATGTGCCAGATGCGGGTTTCACATCACAGTGGCGACCCTTGTGACACGGGACACACCGCAACACGGCATGTGTTTCGGGCTTACAGAATGCTCATCACAGCACATGGAGACGCCGTCCTGCCCCGACTGCCACAGCCCAGTTTGAAACCAGCCCAGACTAGAGTCGGAGGCGCGGCCTTCAGAGCGGCCAGGACGTCCCCGTATAGGAGTCCGGCGCGGAGACCACTGTCAGTGCACGCACCACGCGTGGCCGGGCGCAGACCAGGCTCCCACAGGCGCTCTCGGCCTGGGAGAGGGGCCGTCTGGCTTCGGGGTCCTGGCCTGTCGAGGGACCGCAGATCCAATAAACTGTGTTTTTCAAGGGTTTAAATGGCCACGGCATAAGGTGACTGGGAGAGAGGAGCCGGTTCTGAGAGTCTCCAGCTGAGCACCGAGCACGAGCCGTAAGGAGCCGGGAGCGGGGCTGTGCGGAAGGGCATCCGGGCCACGCGCAGACAGGGCCCCAGAGCCGCACCACGCCTGCCCCCATGGCTGGCGGCCAGCCCGGAGACGCCAACTCGGAGGCCCTGCTCGGCTGGAACCCGTCCCACAAGCACCTCCCGGGGGCTGCTCTGTGCGGGGAGCACCGCGCACTCCCCGCCTTAAGGAAACTGGGGTCCAGAGGTCCGTCTGCCACCAAAGGTCGACTTGTTTCCCTTTCACTTCCTGCCTTTGCACTAAAAGCAAGCCCCTCCCCGTCAGCCCGCTGTGGCAGACACCAACCTGTGCCGCGGCGGGCAGGGGCAGGGCCGGGGGCCCCAGCTCCTTCAGCAGCTCGTTGGTGTCCTTGGCCAGCTGGTTGGTGGAGTGCTGCAGCTGCTGCCTAGGAGAGGAGACAGGGTTCAGGGTACTGTCGCTCCACACTCAGTCTCCTGTGCAGGCGAAGGGCCTCGAAGAACCCAGTCCTAACAGCACCTGAGAGGCGCCCGGCAAACCCACCGGGCATCTGCAGGCTGTGGGACAGCAAAACCCGCCTGGGTGACCCTGTGGAGGTGGCACAGCCCAAGGCTCTAACTCCTCAGGGAAAAGGGGAACACACCAGTCATTCTGGCAGACACAAGGACGCGGGCATTACAGTCGAAGCAGCTCACTTCAGTACACCGAGCCCCAGGTGGCCTGCCACACGGCCCTGCCCAGAGCCCGGCACAGGCTCTAAAGGACGGCTTTGGGGGCCAGCAGGTGGCGGGTGGTTAAGGTGCTGGGCCCCACATGGCCGACCACGGTTGAAGTCCTAGGCACCAGGTGTATGTGTGTGCCCGTCAGAACCCCGGGAGACTTTTCCCTCTCCCTCTCTGTGACTCTCTGGCAAGCTCATGTGTCCTATGGCAGAAAACCTTGAAAATAAATAAGAAAGGAGTGAGCAGCACAGCAGAGCCTGCCGGCACCTGCTGGAGGGGGGGTTTCCAGCTTGGACTCAGCCCAAGCTGCTCTGCAACCCCGACTTTCTGGTTCTCCCCCCAAGACAAGGACACCCTTGGCTGCTTGAAAACGCATGAGGACAGGGAGGGAAGGAGCTGGAGAGCAGAACCTGTGGGGCCTGGGGCAGGAACGCGCGGACAGAGCTCCCGTCACGGGTCCCTCTGCTCTCTGGCATCTTGCCAGAGCTTTCGAGGAAGGACAGAGTTGCGGCGTGCTACGGCCTGGGTGTCTACCCCCAAACTCCGTGTTGAAACCCTAGCCCCCAGGGTGACTGGCTAGGAGGGGGCTTGCACAGGGAGGCAGATCGTGAGGGAGGGATCTCGTGAGTGGCATCAGGATCCTCACAAGAGGGTCCCAGAGCACCGCCTCGTCCCCCCCACCAGCACGGGCACAGCAGACGGGGCTGCCTGTGGGACGTGGCCTCTCCAGACACGGCCCGCCTGGTGTCCGAGCTCGACACGTGAGCAGTCTCCGCCCTGCGCGGGTTAGAGCAGCGGCCAAGACAGCACAGCGTGAACTGCTCAAGTTTCTTTCCCTCCAAATGGGTGTCCACAATAAAACATGCAAGTCATGGGGCCAGCAAGTAGCGTGGTGGTTAAGGCATGGCTGACCGTGGTTCAAGTCCTGGATTTGGTGGCTAGCTTTCTTACTTTCTCTCTCTCTCTCTCTCTCTCTGGTGAGCACATGTGTCCTATAGCAAATGAAAAAAATAATTACAATAATAAATAAAATAATTCTTAACAGGACCAGCAGGTTGCGTGGTGGTTAAGGCATTGGACACTCCCACATGGCTGACCACTGTTCAAGTCCTGGACCTGGTGGCCTGCTTTCTCACTTTCCCCCTCTCTCTGTGTCTCTCTGGTCAAATTAAAATAAATGAATGAATAAAATTAAATAAAACAATTCTATAAAAAAAAATTAAAAAAAAAAAAGGAAGTCAGGGCGAGCAGATGGTGTAATGGTTACGTTGTTGGAGTCCCACAGTCAACTGCGCATCGAGTCCCGGACCCAGCGGCTGAAACATGCCAGGTGAGTGTGTGTGGTCCTCGAATCCCGAGAGGAGGATGAAAGAGAAGGGAGTGCAGTGTGATCATCCTCCTGGGGGGGAGGGTGCTATCTCGCTTTCTGTCTCTGTCTCTCCAGCAAGCACATAGGCTCTATAGCAAAAATTTCTTTTAAAAACAAAAACAGGGGCCAACAGGTGGCATGGTGGTTAAGGTGCTGGATGCCCACAAGGCCAACTGTGGTTTTGGGTCCTGGATCTGGTGGCTTGCTTTCTCACCACCCCCCACCCCCGTGTATCTCTGGTGAGCACATGCATCCTACTGTAAATTAAATTTAAAAAATCAAAACAAGACACAAGTAAAATACTGAGAGTGGGTCAGGAGCCAGAGCACCCCAGGCCACAGCACGCTCTACACAGAGGCACTTCCAGCCCTGAAGAGAGCCCGATCAGGAATAGCAGAAATGGAGTCGTGAAGGATGTGATTGCGGGACCAGCAGATGGCGCAGTGGTTATATCACTGGACTTCCACATAGTTGATGGTGGTTCAAATCCTGGATCCGGTGGCTTAAAACTCACACTGGGCCTGTGTGCATGCATGCCTAAGATTCCAAGAGAAGAATGAAGAAGGGATTGAACGTGGCCATCCCCCCAAGGGTGAGTTCTCACTTTCTGTCTGTCTCTCTTGTGAGTGCAGGCAACCTGTAACAAAAATCCCTCTCCAAAAAGAAAGAAGGAAGGATGTGATTAAAACAAAGAAGGCAGGCCAGCTCTGAGGCACAAGGGTTTTGTGCTGCTCCCTCCAGGACACCGGGTTTGAGTCCCCAGCCCACTTGGCCTGCAGCAGGCATGCGAACGCCCAAGAACTGATGGCTGGGGGGCTGCAGGAGGGCGTGGCACTGTAACCAGACTGGGAAGGGGGCTCAAGGCCCTCGCCCTCTCTCACATGCTCTTCACAAACAGAAAAACAAGCAGGAGTCCCGACACCAGTGCCTGCCGCCTCCCTCAGGATCCCTGGTCTCGGAACCCACGTGGCTAGCGCCAGGTATAGCTGGGAACCAGCCCAGCCAGACCACCCAGAGCCTTGTGCAGCAGGGGCTTGTGGGGCAGCGGGGTGGCTGCCATTAATGGCACTGGGCGCTCACTCGTTACCTGAGAGCCTGCCGAGGAGAAGGGGGCGTGGTGCTCAAGACCACACGTGTACTTGAGGGGGATGCGCTCACACGTGTGTGCAAGGAGCATACACTCAGGACATGTGCAGCCACACGTGAGCTTGATGGCCACGTGCTTACAACTACACATGCAGCCACACACATGCTCAAGAGGCATGCCTACAGGCGTTGTTGAGGGGCGTGCCCTCAGGATCACACACATGCAGCCACACGCACGCTTGAGGGGTATGTGCTCCTGATCACACGCACAGCCACACGCATGCTCGAGGGCATGTGCTCGTGATCACACATGCAGCCACATGTGTGCTCTAGCCACACACGGCCACAAGTGTGCTGGGGCGTGCACTCAGGACTCGTGAACACGTGTGGCTGCCATTCCTGGTCCTGCCACCCCTCAGAACAGACCCGAACCTCAGCTGCCAGCAGCAAGGACATCACGCGTGTCCTGGGGTGGGGGTCACACAACCAGCCGGCCCGGAGGCTACTCACAGGTTCTCCTGCAGCGTGCTCGAGTCCTGCTTGGTTCCTAGTTGGCTCATCAAACTCTTCATCTGAGCGGCTGGGGAGAGGGGGAGAAGAGTCACTGACAAGCGGGCATTTGTCACAGCACCCTACTTCTCAGACACTGGTGTCGCCACGTCCTGAACACGTCTGTGCAATGAACAGAAATCAGGCTACCACTGCAGCCTGATGCATGTGCTTCCCCAAATGGGTTACAGTCCAGCTTCCTCCTGCGCAGTGGCCCAGTCACCCAGGAGAGGTGGTGGTCTCCTTTATGTCCCAGTCTGCCCACTTCTCACTCTCACAGCACTAATTAAAAATCTCATCACCGGGGGAACAGCAGTTAGCGTAATGGCTGTGTCACTGGACTCCCATAGTCGACCGTGGCTTGTGTCCTGAACCCGGTGGCTTAAAACCACGCCGGGCGCGTGTACGTGCGTGCCCAAGATCCTGAGACGAGAACAGAGGAGAAGGGATTGAGGCGTGGTCATCCCCCGGGGGGGTGATTTCTCGCTTTCTGTCTCTCTGTCTGGCGAGCGCACGCGCTCCATAGCAAAAACCTCTCAAAAAAACCCCAAACAAACAAACAAAAAAAACCCAAACAAACAAAAAAACTCATCACCAGGACCAGCAGGTGGCATGGTGGTTACAGTGCTGGACACTTCCACATGGCCGACTGTGGTTCAAGTCTCAGATCTGGTGGCTTGCTTTCTCACTTTCCCTCTTTCTAGCTGTGGTAAAATGTTTAAAAAATGAATGAATGGGGAACCAGCAGTTAGCGTAATGGCCGTGTCGCTGGACTCCCACGTAGTCGACCGTGGTTCGTGTCCTGGACCCGGTGGCTTAAAACTCACGCCGGGCGCGTGTGCGTGCGTGCCCAAGATCCCGAGAGGAGAATGGAGGAGAAGGGATTGCGGTGTGGCCATCCCCCCGGGGAGTGATTTCTCGCTTTCTGTCTCTATGTCTCTCTCTGTCTGTCTGGCGAGCGCACACGCCCTACAGTGAAAATCTCTCCAAAAAAAAAAGAATGAATGAATAAATAAAATAAAATAGTGCTTTAAAAAAATTCATCACCTTTGGAAGGGTCTTAATACCAAGTATCAAGTCACCATAATAAACTCATTAAATCCATTAACACATAACAATGTCTCTATAGCAATTTTTCTCCTACAGAAAAAAACTTTCCGAATTTTTAGAAAGACAAAGTATATAATTTTTTATAATTATTTAAGGTTATTTTATTTATTCATTCATTTATATTTAATTTGATCAGACACACACAGAGAGAGAGAGAGCGTGCGCAAGTGAGAAAGCAAGCCGCCAGGTCCAGGACTCGAACCGTTGTCAGTCATGTGGGCGTGTCCAGCACCTTAACCACCACGCTACCTGCTGGTCCCCAAGAAAGACAAAGTATATTTACTATCAAAAAATTACCACTGACTGAGCACTTTTTTTTTTTTTTAAGTTTTTGCCATAGGGCACATAACTCACTGGAGAGAGAGAAAGAGACAGTGACAGGGAAAGTGAGAGATCACCCCCAGGGGGACAGCCACGCCACAATCTCCTCTCCTCCAGGGGTTTTGAGCACACGCACACACACCTGGCGTGACTTTCATGCTGCCAGTTCCAGGACTCAAGCAGCTGTCACCCATGTGGGAGTCCAGAGCTTTACGCACCACGCCACCTGCTGGCCCCCGACTGAGCACTTTAAGTGCCAGATGTTATACTAAGAGCTTTCTTTATTAAAATTTTAAAATAATTTTCCTATAAGGTGTGTTCATTAGCCAGACAGGGAAAGTGAGAGAAGAAGTTGGGGACGTGGGATGGCCACGCAACACTCCCTTCTCGTCCTTTTTTTTTTTTTTTTTAAATTGAGTAACTTAAAAAAATAATAATTATTTATGTATTTTTATTTATTCATTCGTTTATTTTAATTTGACCGGAGAAAGACAGAGAGAGAGAAAAAGTGAGAAAGCAAGCCACCACGTCTGGGACTCGAACTGTGGTCAGCCACGTGGGAGTGTCCGGCACCTCAACCACCACGCCACCTGCTGATCCCACTCCCTTCTCTCCCATTAGCCTCTCGAGACTGTGGGTTGCCAGGTGTGTTTCACAAGCCGGTGTCTGGGACCTGAACTACACCGCTGGCCACGTGGGACCCAGCACCAGTCCACATGCAGAGCCAAGAGCTTTCAGGACACTCTCACACTCACTTTCATGGCGGTCTGGGCAGCTGCACCCTCCTTCTGCAGAGTTAAGCTTCTTACTTAGTGTGCACAGCTAATGCCTAGAGGCAGACGTTAACTGCAGGAGCCACACCTGACTGGCTGCGATCTTCCCGTCTGTGCAAAACTGGGCCCAGCCCCACCTTTGTCCTAGACCTCTGCTAAGACAGGGAGGGTCAGGACCAGGAGAGAAGGACAAAGTCCCTGTCGGTGGTAGAACGTGAGGGGCACATGCGACCTCCAGCCTGGCTGGGACTCGGACACCCCGCAGCCTGGCCAGCCCTGCAGCAGGAGAGCTGCTCCGACTTCCACACTCCCTTTCACTGTCTGTTTAGGATGGTGGGGCGAGGGGGGGGAATCTCGTCACAGAGGCTAGAATCCGGAGCATCACTTCCACTGCCAGGCAGAGGGGAGAAGAGGAGGACCAGATTTTGTGACTCCACAGGCCAGAGTACTGACACGCACAGAGTACCGTCCAGCCCCACGCAGCCAGAGTACTGACACGCAGAGTACCGTCCACCCCCACGCAGCCAGAGTACTGACACGCACAGAGTACCGTCCAGCCACCAGC